AAAACAAATGTTCAGGAACGCAGAGAAATAAAACATCAAAATTTGATTTGTTAAGTAACAATCATCCAATAATTAAGAAAGATTGATTTCATCAGTTTAGACATTCATTTAGCATATGGACTCTTTTATGGATAGCTCTGTCTGTGACTGTATATACTTGTATATCTATCGAATAGTGCTTGTAGTGCCATTCGTAAGTGAACATTGTAAGAGAAGATGTGTAAAGATCATTGGCAAGAAAAAACATGCATGTGAGCACATACAAGTAACTACTCATTCATTTTTTTTTCTTTTAATCACGACATGTAGTGCAATCACAATATAAGAAAGCAAAATATTGCAAAATATAATAGAAAAGTAATCAATGCACAGTATAACTGCTATTCCTGGCTTTAGAGCCTTCGTAAATACATAAGTAATAGAATGTTCTTCGACATATTCGAGAGAATAGTTGATATGATATTTTTTAAGGTACATGAAAAGGTGACTTGATGAAAACGATCCTTTAAGGATATGGTTCAAATCAATTAAATCTGCAATATTTATTTCAAATATTTGAACAGACTTAGCATAAAAGCTATTAAGCCAGTAAGTGTCTCTATGTTTAATTAATTCATTGACTCTTTCTAAGCCAAGAGTTATTGCTACAAAAGAAATTGATGGAAAATGTAGAATAGAGAAGTGACGAGGTGGGTATCACATCTGTTTAAGAACTGTTAACTTCATCATTTAACTATAAGTACGTTTCAGTGAAACTACGAAAACCATGAAAGCGTTCGCACCCATGGCTCTTCTCTCCTTAAATATGGCCCAATGTGGGTAAAGAAAACAAAACAGCTTTTCAGTTTTTTTTAACTCAAACAGAATAACAACGCCATTCCTACCATTGATCTCTCGACATCATCTTTTTGTCATTTGAATCAACCAAAAAAGTTAGTCTGCACTTTAAAGGAATGGTATAAAAAAGATCAAAACAAAAAAATGTCGAAAATATTACTATACAACAATTTAGATTATTTTGATGTAAATAAAATTTTGTCTCATTTTCTCTCACTGGCAGGGATCTGCGGGTTCACGTCTTTATGGATCCTGATCTGAAAAAAAGACATAATTTTAGACATGCACCCAACAATAAATAAAATTTTGTATCTCGCGACTCGAACCCAGTCGACAAAAATAAATTTGAGATCAAGGTTCGATGAGCTACGGGTAAAACCATATAGGTTCTACATCCTAACCTCAACAGTAAATAATGTATTTTCATCATCTCCAGTCTTTTCGATATTTTTGTCTTTCGATCATTTTTCTCAACATTTTTTGCTTCGACCAATTCTATGTATACCCTTTTTTCATCGTATTTTCTCTTGCCATACTTAGATTCGTCCAAAACCATGCTGCTTTATACATTAAAAACTGAAGAATATTGCTCACAAAGTTTCGACATTAGCTCGTAAGTACATATGAAGCTTCAGTTTATCCACGGTTTTTTTTTCTTTGTTACTGATAAACAAAATTCAATTCTATAAAAGCATTTTTCAACCAGTACTGGAATTTATCTTCAAAGTTTAACACACCCAAAGTTTCTAGAATGCAAAACCATAATAAATTTGCGATAAAAATCTTGTTTCAAATTTGTTCAAATGAAAGACGTTTGTCGGAAAAATTAAAATTCTCTTATAGTAGAAATTAGGATATCAACTTCTACTGGTACAACTTAAAATCACTTGTTACTTTAATGTTTTTTATTAGAAAATAAAATTTTTAGTTTCAACGAAGACAAATATATATATATGTATAAAGGAAAAAATTCACAATAACAAAATGGATTAACATTATTCATTACATTGTTAAAGCCAGATTTCAATCTTTCCAGAAGATCATTGTAGTCGATAAGGTCAGCTAAGTGACGATTCATGTAGTTGTCGTCGAATTAAATGTGAAAATCATGGTGTTGCAGTAAAAGTTCAATAAGCAAAAGAGATATGAGTGAAGCAAGTTGTTGCAAATGATCGACAAGATAATGAAAAAGATTAACAATACGTTTTGTAGATGCATTTTGACCATCATGAGTACTTGACGAATCTCAATCCAATTGATCATGTGAATCATGAATAGAAAATGAAAGTTGTTTCAAATTAGGTAATCGATTGGAGATAAACATACAAAAGTATGGAGCGTTGGATAATGTTACGGTATAGGCTTCGATATCAAATGATTTTGTCTAATAAATAGCAATGTTTGTCTTGTTATATAATGAGTAAAATTTTTCTACTGATTCTTTAGTTTCAAAATAAAATTTACTTACGAGAGAAGTACTTGAAGTGTTTCCTTGACTTAGAGCTCATATTTTGTCCACAAGTAGACCTCAATGTCAATATCCAAATGGTAAAAGTATTCGTGCCCATAGGTCATTGAAGCCGTCTTATGATCATGAAACTGAAATTTTTGTTTCAGCCAAGGTATATATCGAAAAAATCAAACAATGATATTTTGACCTGAAATTTTGCCCATAAAGAAGTCTTATGGTCATTAGAATATCCTAAAATGTTCAGCCAAAGCGTATGCTTTATTCTTAAGGTATTGAATGGCTACAAAAGGACCATATATGACAGAAAATTGAAGTTTTCAAAATTCAATTTCTCAAAGATGAAGCATCTGTTTTGACTGAAATTTTTAGGACGTTCTAATGATCATAAGACCTCTTTATGGACGAAATTTCAGGTCAACATACCATCGTTTGATTTTTCCATGAATGTCTTGTCTGAAATTAAAAAAATCCAATGAAATGGTCATAAGTCGGTGTCAACGACCCATGGTCGCGAATCCTTAAAACCTTTGGCTATTGACATTAAGGTCTACGTATGGACAAAATATAAGTCCGAAATCAAGAGAACATTTCGAATACTTCCCTCGTCAGTTTATTTGAAAAAAATATTTCCTTGAGATCAAGGATGAATAGAAAACAAACGGATTAGTTTCAATGAGAGTTCTCTGATAAGTATAGAAATAATTACTTGTTGATTGATACGAGTTGCGAGATTATCAGTATCGCATAATGTAGCGCAGCATGAAGTACCACAATCTTCATTTATTTGTAGCATATCTACATTAGATGACATTCTTAATATTGTGTCTAATTCAGCTGCACTAATAAAATCGTTACCATCAATGGAAATTTCTGTTAACAATGATTATGGGACAAATCGTGACATAGAGCTTCTAGGATTACTAAGATCATGATGAGGACTTTTGTCATTAAAACCTTCAATGAATAGGTCATTAGCTCTTGGAAACAAATCAATTGGATTCATCGACTTTGGAGAAGATCTAAATAAAAAGACAATATTTCTATAGATCGTTCAGATGCTGGAAAAACATATTGTACATACACTTGCAGATGTTCAGAAAAAAAGTACATTTAAAGCTTCGTACCATTAGATGAAGAAGTGTATAAGATAAAACAATGGTAATCATGACCAATACTGCAATTATCCCGTTCTTGAATAATCATTCTCAGTCTTTGCCGAAGAAAAAAAAGCAGCTTTCACTAATGAATTAAGATTTTCTTTTCCTTGAAATCGTTCCTGACATCAAATGATAGATCAAGAGCATAAGGCACCAATGGTTTGAAACGATCAATGCATGATTGTTGAATAATATCACCGGATATAGCAAATGGACCACAGACAGATGTATATGAATTTAATTTTAGTGAAAAATGAATTAATTGATCAAGCATAGATGATAAAAACACAATGATTCGATTGAAACTCATGCTAATCAAGCAGTTCATTGCAAACCATGAATCCTTAATGGAAGTAGATGATGTGATTAAACAAGGAACAGGAATATGAATGCATTTGCAATGAAATTGTTTAATTTTTCCAAAAAAATAGCAAAAGTAATAAAAAGAAAGAATTAAAAAGATATGATTGTACCAAACATCTCCCCTCCCCCACTTCACTAAATTCATCACCAAAACAAAGAAAATATATCATAGCTTCGTTTTATTCATTAGGTCTCTGTTGCATATCTATTTTTTGACCATTTAATCATTCAAAAGCGAAAAATTTTCAATTATTGATGAAGAAATAGATTATATCCCAAGCACACTCGTACATATCTGCTATAATTAAATCGACATTCAATTGATCATTGGGATTGAGTATTACACTCTACGATGTTGAAACATTGTATTATCAATCAGATAAAATCAAAACAATACAAAACCAATTAAAATCACTATTTTTTCCCATTTCTATAGTTAATTTATTTACATGCACATATTTTGACACAAATTCTGGTACCGTTCATTCAAAATGGCTAGTTGTATGACAGAATAAATACATGGATGAAATTTTCCTTAAAAAAAATTAACGTCTTCAGGACAAGTTATTTGACAATTTTTTAGAATCTAGTCTAAACAACTTTGATTGTCATATGAATTCCAACTCATCTCATTTATGACATTTATATTGCTATTGGCTAATTGTATGTGTGAAAAAGACACTTATTAAACTGAACGATATGTGTCGAAAGATGACTCAATCGATAATCCGAAATCACATTTGTGATGCCGATAAAGACAATGTGTGATACACTATAAGAACAGCTGAATCGATGCAATTTGTTTCGTACGTTTAAATTGCTTATTGCTTATTATATAATCAATTTGTTCGGAGATTTTTCTTTTGATAGTTAATCGTAGTGATGAAATGAACCAATTGCTTTTTTTTCTTTTAAAAATACATTTGAATTTGTCCAATAATGAGAAATATGTAATTTCAAGGTCAAAACGAAAAGAAAAAAAAATCGATTGTTTATTCCTTTCTCTTTGCCTAACACTTGATATCAAAAACAATATTCAACCCATTCGTCTGACGTAAGTAAACAAAAAAATAATTATCAAGAAAGTAGAAACAATTATTTAATCGATCAATATAAAAATAACAAACTGTAGTAAATTCATTTTGAATATCTCTCATTTTCATAGTTCATTGATGCATGCTACTACTTCTTATATTCAATATTCAACTGATTATCCATCATTGTTATCCTATGCACATAATCATCATCATTTAAATGCTTCCACTAGTACTCATGCATCCTCAATCAGCCCTAATTCAACACATTTACTATCTTACAGTGGTTATAATACTGGTCTTGATTTACCATTATATTCAAATAATATCAAACAATTACAAAGTGATGATGAAGATGATAATCAATCAATATCTTCATCACTTGATAATACAATTAATGGTGCATTAATACCTTTTAAAAAACGTTCACGTACTGTACCAGCCGAAGAAAAAGATACTACGTATTATGAGAAACGCACACGTAATAATGAATCAGCAAAACGTTCACGTGATACAAGACGAATTAAAGAACAACAAATTCAAAAACGCGTAACTTTTTTGGAACATGAAAATTTACGTTTATCAATGGAAAATCAAGCTATTCGATATCAACTTTCTCAACTTCATACTTTATGCGATAGAGTATCAAAGCCATTACAATAAAAAAAAGACAGACTTTGCTTTGTTTTCTTTTTCGATTGTATTTTTTTCAAATATATATATATATATATGAAATAAACAGATTTTCTATTGTTGCTTGTAAATATTAATAAGTTCAATTAGATTAGCTCTTGAATATTTTAGACAATGTAATGACTTTTGAAGTGTTCAGTTGATCAGTTTATATTTAAAAATTAAGTCGAATCAATGAAGATTCTATATGATAATTCATATTGATTTCACTCTAAATTTACACAACTATAGTCAATTTGTTGAGAATTTTTTCTATTATCATTAAGAGATTAACAAATGTTAAGCAAAAAAAGATACGCAAATGATTGTTTACGTCATTTACATGCATAATCATAGCATTAATTTATGTTAATGATGTAGAATTGAAGTTTTATTCCAGATGGTATGCAGAACTTAACATTCACTTGCATCATAATAATATGTGACATCGATTCATCATCTTATAACACAACTCAAAATCGAACATGTTAAAAATCATTGTCACTAAGATATTGGGAGAATTGTTTCTTTTTCAAGTTAAATGTTTTCGATGCATTGATTTTGTTTTTGAGTTAGGCAAAAGAAAATGATGTTTAGTCTTGCCTGTATTTTGAATTATTAAAATAATTCAATTTAACTGAGTTCTATTGTCTAACGAGACAAAAAGATGATTGTAAGAAATTTATCTAATGTATCTCATAAGTTGATGTGATTGCTTCAAGTCACAATATTTCGATATTGAAAGAATTTAAAGCCGAAAAAACATCAATTAACATAGATCAACAATCATATTGTTTGTTCGTCAAATAAATTGAATATAATTATTTGAAAAAGAACTAAACAGGAAATGAATTTCATATACAAATTCAATATAAAGAAAGTTATATTTCATTGATCATTAAAGAATAATACAGATAGGAGGGAAAAAATTGATAAAAAATTTATTGTCGTTATTTTTTATGTTTAGCAATCCAACTGTCATCATATAAAGTCACTCCAATAAGTATCCGAATACCAAAAAGGCATTTCCTATTTTTTCGATTTTTATCAGTAAATAGTCCTTACTCTATATTAGGTTTTCTATAAATATTATTAAGTTTGACCATCACTTCGATTTATGGAAATTGTTTTCATGAAAATGTCTAATTTTTCAATACATCCACAACAAGATTCTTCTATTTTTCAAGTTGAACAAGTTGAATGCGATGATAGGGATGAAAAATGATCATCAGTTTTTTTTCACAGCTAATCTCCGAGTATACCATTAGAAAGCTCATAAAAGTCTGCACAAAGTCAAGTAGTTTAATAAGCTTGTAGATGTTCGAATACTTTTTGAAGTGATTGTAAATTAAATTATCTTGTTAGTAGTATTTGTACTAGAAAAATAAAGTCGTGTTCTTTCTTGCTGAAGTCAAGTTAATCAAAAAAATCACCACTAATAGAAACTTGCTAGATATTTTGTCAGAGATAAGATCCATGCACCTGATATGTCGTAGTGTTGCACATTCCAGATGTAATAAAATAAATCTCCATAGTATATCTTTGTCAAATACAACAACCGATATATTTGTATTATTAATGATAAAAGCCATATCACGGTCGTTCAGTTAACAATAAATTAATACACTAGCAATATTTTGTAAAATACGCGCATCATCAGCAATTATCGATTCAAGCCTAATGACTAAATGATTGTATGAAACGTCGCTACCCATAGCTAAAGTTATTTATTCATTGATTCACTATTTTGAACGTCTACTAACTTATCGCCAATAGAACTCGACTTGCCATGTCTACTCTACTACATAAAGAATGTGAAATAAGTTCTGATCCTTTTTGACTAATATTATATTCCTATATGTTTTTTCAGTAGAATAGGCTGATATTCGCAGCATATATACTAGACATCCAAGTCTATTCTACATTAAAAGTTCAGCTTTCTACCTCTTACAATTAGTGAGATACAGTTAACCTAAAATTAAAAGGAACTTTTTTGATTTATTTTTACAAACAGCACAGATGAAAACATTATAGTTATTCGATCAATCTCTTACAACAAGTAATCTTTATTTTTCTGTATATCATTCCTGCGTTCGATCATTTATCCACGCGGTTATTAACTGAGAAAAATTGCACGATCCCTTGTTATATGATGTTCATAATGTGCAGACACAACAAACCTTCTGAACGAGTTACAGGAATAGATAAGTTAACTTTTAGTGACTAAAAGAATTGATTTATGATTTTTATTTCTTTTCTATATTAAATTATCTTGTTTTTTAAAATAAAGACAACAAATCCTACTCACATATTTAGAATAATACAAATTTCCATTTGATAATTAATACTCATATCATGGCAAGTATTTTCAAGAATAATAAACAATTTAGATCAACTGTAGTATATTTACTAAATCTGAATCCTTCATGGGAAGCATCTCAAATTTCAACTTTTGTCCAACAATCAGAAAGTTATTTGTTCGTTATCGAAGAAGACAAACTTTTATAGAGTTTCGATTTGTAAATCCCGTTAGAACCATCGTTTTCTATTAAATATCCTTAATAAAACAGCAGAAAAATGCTCACAAATAAATCCAAAAATTTCTATTAATTTTTCGTTAATTGTATCTCTCTGATATTATGAGAGATAGAAAGCTGAAACTCTAGTGTAGAGTAGATCTCGATATCTAATGTATATGCTGCAACTATCAGTCTATTCTACTGGAAAAACGTTTAAGAAAAGAATATTACTCGAAGGAAATCAGAATTTATTAGACACTCTTTAGAAGATTTGTCTTAAGTAATAACGAAATTGGCGATGAAATGCGAGTCAACCGCTCTACTGACATATGTACACTAGTATGCTTCAATGACGAAAGTTATTGAAAACTTGGAAAAAAAATATGTTACTTTAATGTTCAAATCTGTATATGACGCTATTCATGTAAGTTTTGTCACAAAGATTTTTTTTTTTTTCTCTTAGCTATCTCAAATTCAATTTATCGAGAGTGCAAACAGAAAAAAAAATCCAATTTATTATATTCGGTTTAAATTAATGAACAAGATTTTGACACAAATTTCTCATTCAAGTTTTTCATTGAGGACAGAATATCGGGTGTGATATGGCTAATTTCAGTTAAGAGTGTGGATTCATGTACTTTTACCCTATTACTTCATACTCTCTCAAATTTGAATCTAAGATCATTCATAAACACTTATTTTTAAAATAATGATTATTTGAAATTAAATACTATTATTGAAAATATTGAATTCACAGCATATTACATTTGTTATAGTTATACCGGCTATGATTGGTTTCAGCTGTTTTCCGTACAATGATTGAATTTGAACGTTCAATGTGAGACAATTTAGAAGTTTGCGAAGTATCAGCAAATGTATGAAAAAAAGATGTAATACATAAAAGTCACGTATATTTTAGTTTAGTGGGACTGATCTTTTTTAAACATCAATTTTCTATGAAAAATACAAAATGCCAGAATAGCTATTACAGATTTAAATAATTTCGAAATGAACAACATCAGATATCATTCTGTGAATTCTGCACATAGCACTTTTTCTGATTAATCGTATAATGTTAGACTCTTTCTCACAAAAAAGATAGTCTCTTGTTACATTCTGCCATCTATTTATGTAGTATAACTCTTTCGTGTTCATGATTGTCTTTTCTTTTCATTGTTATTTTTGTTGTTATATATTGGTGAAGATGAAATAAACAGTCAGTTATGCTTTAACATAAAACGAACTCGAACGTCTTTAAGATTAAGTGCAAATTGAGGCATAACATCTCCACTTAAAAATATGAAATATTGTGCAACCCTATTGGATGATCTTTCGAATGTTCAGAAGTTTCGCTTGAGCGTCTGTTTGAGAAGAGTTTACTTCTGATTGAAGACTTTTTTCGACTTAACAATATAAATAAATCATTTTTTATACTATGTTGTTTCCTCCATGCAAATAATAATAATGATAGAATACTAATTACTCCAAAAACCAAAAATAATCCACTTATTGCTTGAATTCCGATCGCATTCGGTTTCTCAAATGAATCGGGACACTTTTTTACTTGAAACCATTTCTGCCTTAAATTTTCAAGGTCGCCTGATTCTTGTAGTGATAAAAGATTCACATCTAAATCTTGTGCATATAACCATTTCTCAGGAGTAACAATACCCAATACACCTTTATCAAAATCATTTCCAATTAAAGTTAAGTTACAATATACATTATTCGTGATATATTCAGCAGAACCACTATCCACGAAAGATACGTCAATTATACCAGCGAGTAGACTATCAAATACATCATTCTGAGATTTTAATGGATAATAGTTTCGCTTTCCTCCGGATATTTCCCTTAGATAATAATCTTCACTAACTGTACCTTCTCGAATACCGATACGATTAAATGGTATTTTTCCATTTTTAATATCATCAATTCCAGAAATAATATCTTTTGATTTTGCTATTGTTAGTTCAGATGCTAAATTTGCAGTATATGATGCTACTAATATCAAGCTTAGGATATATAAACCAGCAGTTAATAAGCGTCCAGCAGCCGTATTAGTATAAAAATCTACACCATATCCAACAATGTTACCAAACGAATACCATATACTCATTGCAACTTGAGACAATCTTGACCGATTTTGTAATGCTTCGTTATCTTGTCTCTCTAATATACACATCAAAATACCAGCATAGATAAAAGTAACTAAGACTAATAACCAGAGATTACGTGAAAACGGTTTCAAGAATGAAAACAGATCGATATTAATATCGAGTGTTTTTCGTACAACAATACGTAAAGAATTATCAAATATGGCATTGGAAAAATCGACTAATTCTCTTCTTGCAGCGGTAACAGTCACATCACCTATCACTATATCGTAAACACCGTTACTTACTACTTGAATTAATCCATTATATGTTTGATTTGATGGTGCTAACTGAATAGTTGGAATGAAGCCTGTTTTACTTTGTAAAAGATTGATAAGATCGAGTACATAGCCACTATACTGTATTGTACTTTGTCCATATGCATCCATGATCTTTTCAACTATTGTAAATGGAATTGATTCAATAATGCCTATTCGTAAATTTACACCTTCAAGAATCGCTTGACAAGAAGGATATTGTAATGTATTGCCTGGCCATATTATAACATTTTCTTTTGAAGGTGTTCTCCAATCACCAGGATGACAATATTCTAATATAGGCACAAAATTCAAACCATTCAAAGAAGGTTGAGCATTTTTTGCAGAATAATACAAACCAATTATTCGATCTGTTACATTAACACTAAATTGTATAGGGCCAGATACACCAAGAAATTCTGTTCTACTAACAGCATCTAACAATGAATCGGAATGAATGAAACGATGATCAAAACAGTTCGAAGATCCAACAAATGATAAACACGAAAAAGAATTATTTATTTTTGATTCACACAATCGTTGTAGTGATTGAATTAGTGTCCATGTTGCATCAAATGCAAATAATGCATAATAATCTACATTCATTGATCCAGGAAATGATTCAGGTTCATACTCTTGCCAAATACTATATGCTGCATTTAATAATGTTGTATTGATAGGAGCATTGACAACTGATCCTATAGTGGGTTCAATCAAAAGCAGTCCAATTAAGTTTTCATGAAATGTTTCATTGAAAGAATTTAATGAAACATTAGAGCTTAGTATCCATGTAAACTCTGGTCCAACTACGTTAGAATTAAGAGCATTTTGCAAAATCAAAGATGTATAATTTGATTCAGCCCATAACACAACAATTCGTGTTGCAACATTAGTTAAAAGACTTTTCAAATCACCACGAATACTAAGTATAGTAATATCAAATGCAATCCTTTGTTTGACTATTAAACCACTTTTATTAAATTCGTTACTTATAGCTGTAGCTCCACCAAATCCAAAGGCATCATTTTGATAAATTATTATACATGATGTCCAATTAAACTGAATGAATAGTTTTACAAGAGCTGATGCAGCTACATCATCTGAAGAAACTGTACGATAAAAAGTAGGATAAATGTTTCGATCAGATAAATCAGGATCCGTTGCAGCATATGATATAACAGGTATACCAATTTTTTCACTGAAAGAAGCAATTAGATGAGCTTCTCTTGATAAATGTGGACCAACGATACCAACAACATTTGAAACAGAAACTGCATGACATGTAACATTCAGAGCATCTATTATCTTGCCAGCAGTTTTCTCTACTTGCCATCCTATGAATTCTCCTTCGATTGTCATATTATATTGATAAGAGAGCAGCACTGCTGCCTTAAACATAGCCCAAGACTGAACATCTGATTGGGTCATGTTAGATACGTTTGATATATCTTGAAAAAGACCAAGTAGGCGAATATTAGAAGAATTTGATGACAACCAACTTGTTGTTACATAATCTACGTTAAATTGTCCAAATATAAGGTATAACAATAAATATCGAAAGTTATAAAACAATAACATCACTGTTTAATTATCCCACAAATAAAGAAGGTTGAATTAATTATTAGAAAAAAACAAAGTATACTAAAATTGAAACACACGAACAAGCTAATATTAATAGCGACAGTAATTGAGAAGTCGAGCAAAATTGTTTTTATCATATTTTTACACGGTTCGATAGTGCACGCCGACCTCTACAAGAATATATCTAAATCAAAAAAGTTTTTTAAACTCATTCGCTTGAGATAAAATTCACAAGAAACTTCAAAATAACTTTAAAGACATTCGCTGTTTACTAATAGAAGAAATCTGTGTCACTTTTCAATAGATTGAGCGTTTTCGATTTTTACTTTTGATGTATATAGGAAGTTTATAAAAATAAAAATTTATAATTCTCACTGTTTATTTCATTGAAAATATTTCGTTGAATCTACATATCAGATACTAGTTCTCAATTCTCATAAGGATTGAAATCATACATATACAATGTATTAGCATTTGAATAGAGTAATGGGGAATATTTTTATTTTTACGCAATGAACAAAAACTGATTTTATGACATTTAATTATATACTGTTTTTTTCTTGTTGTTTGTAAGACAAACAATATGATAAAACGAAGCGAAAAAATTTCTCACCCGTAACCAATTATAATATATTGAGTTGGTGGAGATGCACAAAATAAATGGTACCTGTTCAACTTTATTTTTTTCTTCATTTCTATTGAGTTGATATTCATTAGTATAAATTTATTATACCATGAAGTATAGAAATAATTTACAAACAAAATTGGAAAAAATATTTTTTTCTTTTTCATAAATCAACTCTAAAAACTCTATAAATTAATTATATATAGTTGTTCTGTTTTTTGTTGAAATAATAAATCAAATACAATATGTCAACATGATGTTCAGTCTAACTTATGTAATTGTTTGAGTAATTTTGATAGTCAATGTATATTATATATTATTTTATGTTATCACTCTATTGTTGGTTATTTGAATTGTATTTCTTTTGTTTGTTTGTTTTTATTTATATTAATTTAGCTGTGATGTTAACATTGATACTGAAGAATATTGAAACACCCAATGGTTGCATTCGAATATTGTTTACTATCCGTTGACTACAATTTCGGTCATTATTGTTTTAAGTTAACTAATTTATTTTGAATCATGTTGAACCATCATAGTAAAGACATTCGGCAAAAACAGCTTTAATCGAATATATAATTTACTAATTTAAAATCTGTATAGAAAATTTCTGTCGGCAATATGTTTGTTAATTTTGCGACGAATAATAATTCGTTGAGAATAGTCAAACAACGTAGGTAGCGAGAAGGAGAAGTTGATGCTTTTTCTAAGTATATCTTCACAAAAATAAAATCATGATTTAAGACTGATTGACTGAGAGCAAAGACTTGAATAAAAACAAGAATGATATCTCTAGTAAATATTACCTTGAATTACAATATTCTATTTTAATTAGAACCAAAGCTTTGTGTACAACTATTTCTAAAGTGATTTGTACTCTAAGAAATACTCAATTGAATCTTCTTTTTACATGTCACGATAAGGAATCGAAAATACTTCATATATTGACTATGACTTTTAAATATTTTTCGTTCTACTCTATTACAATGCATTACTTTCGAGAAAATAAATGTTCTATAGAAATAAAGCCAAAACTTGGCAGAAGTACCATCAATAACAGTTATGAATAATGGAAAAATAGAGTATGCTCCTTAGCGCAATGATTATTTAAGTATTTCTCATTTATTTGTTGATGATTACTCAGTCGCCATTAGAAAGAACATCAAATTCTGTATCTAACTGAATATTTTGGACTGTTTTCGATGATGTTTAATTAGTTAAAAATTGATACAAAGATGTTGCCGAAAAATATTTTTAAAACATAGGTTATGTTAAGTAAACAAAATATATCAATAAAACTAAAGTAAAATATTCTCCTTTTTACATAGTATCCGTTCTGTCCTAATGAAATTTTTGCTTCTGTAAACATATACACACTTTCCTTTGACAATATTTTTTTCTCGCAATCAATAACTAATGTAATATTGATTCGTAACTATAAATTTTTCTTTCATGACATTTTAATTAACATATCATTTTATTTTGAGGTTGTTTTTGTTCACTGTTCTACCAGAGATCGAAACCGAGTCGAGTCGAGATTGACAGAAAGTAGATCGAGTCAAGTTAAATTTGCAGGACTCCATTCCTCAGACACTTCAACTAATTTTTTCTCAGTTTACAGCTACAAGAAATCAACATAATGCTTTAATTGATGTCTACACTTGAAAATAAAGAGAGAGTAGCAATTTGTACTTTGTTTTTTGCCTCTTGTAAACTTTTGGTCGGCTTGTATGTTAGTGTGTATGTCCATCAAACTTCGTTTATTGGAAACAAACTGACTATTTACACAAAAAAATAGAAAGCGAACCTGGAGAACATAGACAGTGATATCCGAATGGAATCGGTGTTTAAATACAGGAGACGTACGATAGTGAACGAACTGATCACAATAGAGATTCTGACAATGAACTGGGATCTTGCGACTGTTCACACATTTAACGAGTGAGAGAAAGAGAACGAACTATATATGTGCAGATGAATCGGAAGAAAGAACATATAAAAACGGAACGGTAACATCACACGATAGAAAAAGGAAATAAATCAACAAAATAGAGAGAAGGAATGCAGTAATATGGCCGAATCGAGAGAAAAAATCATAATATCGTACTATGATTTCTTTTTGCTCGAATAAAATCGCTAGCTCCCTCGATCGCAGTGCGATACTATCTTCGTCTGCCACCTACTCATCTGTTTCATTTATTCCATATGCGTCATTGTCATCCACATCTGTTAGCTTCAGGCAGAACGTATTCCACGAACAAACCTATCATCGGTGTACAAAACGGGAAACAAACGGTCATTTGACCGAAGCTCTAAAAAGTTTACCGATTTAATTTGTAAAAGAACTCGAGTAAACCGTGTGACTCTCAAGACAAAAGGCTTATGCGATCTGACAACTATAGCTGTGGAGACAGTTAATAAAGATCAGAGACCAGAATAAGTCGAGTGCTCGACAAATCGACTCGACTGGACTCAAGCCAAGTCGAGTCGCGATTTTTCTGACTCGTTTCGGTCTTTGTTCTTGTATCAAAGACGTAAAATAAATATTTATTTAAGGATCCATTATAGTGAATAATGAAATCTATCACAAAAAGAAACACAGTCAATATGTTATAATTACATAACAAATGGCTATAAAATCACTGAAACAATTTCAAACTGAAATAAAAATATATTT